GTTTAGGTAGTTAAGGGCCATGTTTAAAATAACTTTTGTGAGGGAGAGGCCAAAAGCCGTCACCACCCTTACTAATGTCACACCAATTTAAAAGTGGTTAGAACAACAACAAAAACAAAATTGTCTGTCACTAGTGCAAAGCTATGTACCCTCTGCTTTAATCGACTCTTGACTTCTTTAATGCGCATTTTGGCATGGTCCTTGGCCTGTAAAACAAGCATACACAAAGCCAAATTATTGCAATTTTCATTTCTATACAAGTTATTTTCTCATTTCAAAAGAAGTCAGGGATGTGCTTACAAACTTGTAAACAGTCTTCATGGCTGGGTTTGCCTTTGTCTTCACCGTGTTGAAGATAGCCCCACCCCCTTTCTGTAAGAAAGACATTTGAACAAAGTTTGTGACAGACACACAGACTAACTGGGATTTTGGACATACAGTATACCACATTCAGCTATGTAGAGTATTATAAAAAGTTTGCAAACAGCAAATGGGCATAATGAGTAAAGGTTCCCACCCTCAAACATGGTCATTACAAGCTTTGTAAAAGTAGAATATGTGGCTAAGATCTTGTACTGTAAGCAGTAGACTGTACATTATACAATGGCTTCAGGTGTACACAACTTGTAGAGACATACAGTTGAGGTTTACATACGTTTTGGCAAGTCGGTTAGGACATGTACTTTATGTATGATAAGGAATTTTTCCAGCAGTTGTTTACAGATAGATTATTTCATTCATAATTCACTATATCACAATTCCATTGGGTCAGAAGTTTACATATACTCAGCTAACTGTGCCTTTAAACAGCTTGGAAAATTCCAGAAAATGATGTCATGGCTTTAGAAGCTTCTGATTGGCTAATCGACATCATTTGAGTCAACAGAAGGTGCAGCTGTAGATGTGTTTTAAGGCCTGCCTTCAAACTCAGGACCTCTTTGTTTGACTTCATGGGAAAATCAAATGAAATCAGAAAAAAATGTGTGGACCTCCACAAGTCTGGTTCAACCTTGGGAGCAATTTCCAAACACCTGAAGGCACCATGTTCATCTGTACAAACAATACTACGCAAGTATAAACACCGGGGAACAACACAACCATCATACCACACAGGAATGAGACTCGCTCTGTCTCCTAGAGATGAACGTACTTTGGTCTGAACAGTACAAATCCATCCCAGAACAGCAGCAATGAACCCTGTGAAGACACTGAAATGGGTACCGAATAATCTACATCCACAGCAAAATGAGAAAGCCATAACCTGAAAGGCTGCTCATCAAGGAAGAAGCCACTGCTCCAAGACGCCATAAAAAAGGCCTCCAAACCTGACTCAGTTCCACCAGTTCTGTTGTGGAGGAACTGGCTAAAATTCCAGCAACTTATTTTAAAGCATCCTGAAATGTTTGACCCAAGTTAACAATTTAAATACTATTAGTCAAATACTAACCAAATGTATGTAAACTTCTGACCCACTGGTAATGTGACAGAAATAAAAACAAATAAATCTTTTTCTCTATTATTATTATTTCACATTTTTAAAATAAAGCAGTGATCCTAAATGACCTAAGACAGGACAAGTTTATAGGGTTAAATGTCAGGAGCTGTGAAAATCTGAGTTTAAATATATTTGGCTAAGGTGGATGTAAACTTCTGACTTAAACTGTACCCAAGAAAACACAAAGCTGTAATTGCTGCCCAGTGGGCTTCTACAGGGTATTGAATTAAAGGTCTGAATGCTTTTGTATATAGAGAGATTTCAGTTTTTGATCATATTTTTGAAATAGGTTTTCTCTTTGTCATTATGAGTTATTGAGCATGGACTGATGGGCAAAATGGAGATTTTATTAAATGAAAATCAAACCTATAGCACAATAAGTGCTGTAGGCTTGGATTTTTAGCTTTTTTCCCTCAACAGTCTTTAAGAGAGCCACAATATGTAAAATATTTGTATCTCCCTTCCTGTTATTCCCATGGCCGCCAAGAAAAAGCAAAAGATTGAAAGGCTCTAAATACTTTCTGAAGTCACTGTAAATGTACCTACAAAAATTGGCCAGGGACTGTAAGGTTCCAAGCCACTTTTTTCATCAGAGCAAACTGAGCGTACTTTAAAAACTCCCCAAACTGTGTTCCTTTCCACACCAATCCACTGAGTGACTGAAATGTCAATATTCTGAGAGACTGCCTTGACCTGGCAGTTGTAGTAAAGGTGAATGGGTTAAAATTATTAGGAATCATCTTCCTGGGAGCATCCATTGTGAATTCTGTGGCAATCTCACTAGTAGTCGTTTCTTTCTCTGCACCAGAGGATAAATGGACAAACATGCAGTTTGCACTAACCTAACTACTCCCTGCATTTAGCAGGGGAAAAAACCCACACATGGCCAAAATACTAAAAGTGTATGCAATGTATTCATTACGGCAATGTGTTGTCTGCCTGGGTAATATCACTCACACTAGCTCACCTTCACAGTGAACAGCCACTGGTGGTAGGTCTTGTCACTGCCTGCGGGGGAAACCACAACAAAAAAAAGGTAAAGTAGTGGGCATGCTGAGAAAGTTTAGGATATATAGTTTGGAATCTGATATAAAACCATCTCAATGTACAGTATAAGCAGTGTACTGCTGTTTAGTCTTGTAATCCTGACTGTGCACGTTTCAGCAACAAGGAACTGTTCCATCTCCATTATTTGGTCTTTTAACTTCCCATCTATGGCAGAAGTGTAGATGGGTTGTGTAACTTGAGATCTGCTGCTGTGTGATCACCTTTTCCTATGATTTATCAAATATCTGAAAAGTTTTATAATCTAACAAACAGTGTGAAAACCAGACCCGAAATGAAAAATGAGACAATCTTCTACAGCAGTCTGAAAAATATCAGCTGCTATTTATGTAGAGGAGCCAATTAGATTATTTCACCTACACAGTTCTATGCTGGTCATCTTACTGTTATAGTGACTAGTAACACTGTGCTGTAGTTGTGTTTCATTATGCATTTAGAACAAAGATGCTATTGTGATTAGGGCTGTTCAAAATGCTATTCCTCCACAGTGTAAAAATAAATAATCTGGTTTAGTGATTGTTTGTGAAGAATGCAATTATTATTAATAATTTACAACTGCAAATCAGAAAAAGTTGGGACGGTATGTAAAATCTAAATTCAAACTGAAAATAGTGATGTGTAAATCATCTGTGTCCTGTATTACAATGAAAACAATACAGCAGCACATTATTTGAAGTGACACCTCATCAATTTTATTCTTTTTTCCAAATAAACAATCACTTCAATTCTGAGTGAAATTAGAATTACCATCTCATAGTTGTATGTCTCCATTAACTAGCCAAATTCATGGGAATAGGACAGACCTGAGGACACAGTGTCCTTGACCTCTGACCATCAAAATCTAATCAGTTCATCCTTGAGCTCAGGTGGATGTTTGTGGAAGAAATCCCCTCAAGGCGTTCCTGAGATATCATGTTCACAAGAATGAGAGAATCGTGAGGTTACTGCGACATTTGACTACCAAAATCTAATGAGCTCATCTTTGAGTCCAAGGGGACACTTGTGCTAAATTTGAAAAAAATTCCCTGAAGGTGTTGCTGAGATACAATGCTCACAAGAATGGCACAAACAAACAGATGGATGGACAACCCCAAAACATAATGCCTCTGACCACAGCTATCGTCAGCACAGAGGCATTAAAAATGGTGGGCCACGTAAGGTCATTTTCATACCAAACCAACAACATGTGTCATGTCTCCATTAACACATCACTGCTGACTCACCTGCATATTCACCCATGTTGATCTC